AGGGCCCCTGCAGCCTGTTTGCATTTATCATCAAGTCATTTCCGTGTAGTTATTTATACCAAGTCCCATCTTGAGTTTCCGGTGTCTGCTGGCTCCTGAAGGCCAAGTGGGTTCTGAAATAGACCAGTGTAGCTTCTGGTCAAGCAAGAGTTGACCCAGGGGAACTGTTGGAAATGCAGGACTCCCATACACATACACCCAGGGCTGGGAAGCACAATTATTAAATTAATCCCCATCCTCTACTTCCTGGAACTAGAGGATCATGGGTAGCAGGACAACAGCAGATTGTCTGTTCTCTGGTTCCTTCTCCAGCCCTGAAACAAAGGCCCATATGGTGCCAGCCAGAACAGCCAAGCAAAACCAAGCAGAGCACTCTAGAATTGTGATGCACTGTCCCTCAAAGCCCTTAAGATGTGCCGAGGAGGGGGCTGGCTTGGATGCACGCTGCCCCTCCTGCTCCAGGGCTGGGAATCTGATTTAGCTCTACAGAAAACCTATGCTTGACTTCCCTCTTGAAAGCCTGAAGGAGTACTCACTTCAAGGCACACCAGCCAGACAAACCAGTTCCAGCCTCTTCTGTGGCTGCCTGCCAGGCTGAGAGAGCTCTTGGCTCTCGGTTGTTCCCTAACCATGAAGAGATGGCCCCTTCAAGCACTTCCCTGGCTCTCAGGGTGGCCTACTGTCTAACTGAGATGAGATCTTACTATGTAGCACAGGCTAGCCTTGAACTCATGGAGGAGCCTCCAGCTTCAGCCTTCTAAGTGGAACACCCTACTGAACTGAAACTCGGGTCTCCTTGTGTCTGTACTTTACCAACTAAGCCATATCCTTAACCTCTTATTGGACTTTTAAAAATATACATCTTATTTATTTTGTGGGTGGGGAACATGCATGCCATAGCATGTGTGAGGTCGGGGGACAGATAACGGTATCTGGTTCTTTCTTTTTACCACGTGGGTCAGTTCCAAGAACCAGACTCGGGTTGCAAGTTCCTTTACCCACCACTCCATCCAGCTGGCCCCTCTTTGCAGTTTTGTTGTTGTAGAGTGTTTTTCTCACTGTGTAGCTATGAAGGCTGTTCTTGGTTGTCAACTTGACCACATCTGGAGTTAACTAAAACCCAAAACAGGAGGGGCACATCTATGAGGGCTCTTTGTTTATTTTGACATGGGAAGATCCATTTCTACTGCAGATCTTTTGAGGCAGGAAAGTTCACCTCTAATCTGGGCCACACCTTCTGCTGGCAGCCTATATAAAGGACAAGGAAGAAGGAAGCTTTTGCTCTTTGCCAGCTTGCTAGCAAATCCATTCTTTCACTGGCATTAAAGCCTGCTTCTTTGGAATTCCAGCATATACTGAAGACCAGCTGAGACATCCAGCCACATGGAGTGAGCAACTATTGGATTCTTAGACTTTCCTTCATAGACAGCCATTGTTAGATTAGCTGGACCACAGCCTGTAAATCATTCCAATAAATCCCCTTTCTTTTCTTTTTTCTTTCTTTCTTTGTGTAACCGTCCTGGCTGTCCTGAAATTCACTTTGTAGACCAGGCTGACCTCAAACTCCCTGAGATCCACCTGCTTCTTCCTCCCAAGTGCAGGGATTAAAGGTGTAAGCCACCACAGCCAGAAATAAATCCCCTTCTATATATAGACAGATTCATTCTATAAGTTCTAGTCATCGGCCGGGCGGTGGTGGCGCACGCCTTTAATCCCAGCACTCGGGAGGCAGAGACAGGCGGATCTCTATGAGTTCGAGGCCAGGCTGGACCGACAGCCTCCAAAACAATACAGAGAAACCCTGTCTCGTAAAACCAAAAAAAAAAAAAAAAAAAGTTCCATTCATCTAGAGAACGCTGACTAGTAACCTTGCCTAGCTTAGAACTCACTATGTAGACCAGGTTGGACTTGAACTTGTAAGACATCATCCCACCTCTACTCCCTGAGTCTGGGATTAAAGATGTAAGGTATCTAATTCAATCTTACAAGATTAAAGAAAAAGTGTGTGTGTGTGTGTGTGTGTGTGTGTGTGTGTGTGTGTGTGTGTGTGTGTGTGATATGAGGGCATTGGAGCCCCTGAAGCTGGCATTACAGGTGGTCATGAGCTGCCAGACATGGGTACTGGGACTCAGGTCCTCTGAAAGAGCAGAGAGTGCTCTTAACTGCTGAACCATTTCTCTGCCCCTAGGACTTTTTTTTAATGATAATAATAATAAAAAAACCATTTCAGACAACTGGAACCACCCATTGTCTTTCACAAGTCATGTGTCCCTAGAGAAGGGAGACACTTTAGCCAGTAAGGTCCTACTTCCAAATGCCATCACCTTCGGGGGTAGGATTTCTACCTGCTCTGAGAGGACATTCAGATCACAGCTGTGTGCCAGGCAGGCCCCTTAAGTGAGAACTGGGGAGAGCCCAAGTTCTGGAACTATGCAAGGTTAGGGGAAGGGCTTCCCAGAAGGAGGCAGCCTTCACACAGGCCTTGAGGCAGGAGCAAGCTTGGCACGTGAACCAGAGCTGAGCAGAAGTCTGGAAGGTGAGTGGGTGCAGCCATGTCGTGATGACCCTCCTGTGTCCTTGGCATCGAGCAAGGTAGGGGCTGACTGACAGTCCCGTGTGTCACTCAACATACAGGTTCCAGGGTGGGGAGATCATAGGACATGATCCTTCTTTTTGCCCACTATTGGTTCTGTTTCTACATTGAGGACCTGTCTCATGGAAGGACTCAGGAAAGACATCTCCAAACAAAGCATGTCACTGTGGGCAATGACGGTTCCTTCCCCACTCTGCCTCTCTCCTACTGTTTGCCCCTTGGCTGGGATCGTTAGACTTAAACAGACCCCCGTACCTGTGGGGCAGAGTTTGAAGAAGTAGCACATTCCTGCTGTAATTGTACCCTTGTAAACTGCAAGAAAACAATACAACCCCAAGATGTGGGCACCCCAGTACTTTCTGGTCTCTTCCCAGCTAACTGCCAAGGTCAAGTATTTGGATCCATCTTGTCTTCTGACCAAGATCACCAAAGGCATGAGCAAAGGGCTCTCAGACAGCAAGTGATCCCCTTCCAAATCAGTGCCTGCCCCCCGAGGTGCAGACCAGTAGGCCCCAAGGGCACACTCAGCCCCACAGGACAGATCCTGCCCCACCTAGGGCGGCATGCAACCTCCGCTTAGCCTTCCATTCCCCCACACACGTTGTCCCTAAACCTAATAGCTCCAGACATAATACCAGCCCCCCACAACTGGCCCATCCATGCTCTGCCTACGGGGTACCTAGATGACAGCACACAGATCCCTACAGGGGGTGTCCTCCCTCCAGTGGTTCTGAAGCTCAGCTATGGAGTACATGGTGTGTACCAGGCTTGTGGGCCCTTTCCCAGCACTCCTAGAGGCCAGGAGGGACAGCGATGTAAAAGCAGGCTCTTCAGTGTTCCTACCTGTCTTTCTCTCTCTGGTACAGTCTCTTAAAAAAAAAAAAAAAAAAAACAGGAACTGGAGAGATGAGGCCCAGCGTGCACGAGGCTCTGAGTTCCACTTCCGGAGAAAGAAAAGGAAACCAGATGTTATGGTGCACACCTGTAGCCTCAGCACTCAGGAGGTTGAGGCAGGATGGGGTCAAGTTCTAGACCATCCTAGGCTGCATACCAAGATCCTGTCTCAAAAGGATAAAAGCCACAAGCGTATGGGTATGGGCTGTCATTGTCTCATGGGTTGCCCTCTCGTTTCTTAGAACCCAAGGCCAGAGGTGGAGGGGTAGAGATAAGAGCTTTACCACCGGGGTCCCCAGGGCATTCTTAGGACTGTCCCTATATGAGGCCTGTTGGGCTTAATGGCACTGGCCTCAGGAGGGACCCTGGATTCACCCCAGTTCCGGTGTATACCTCCTTCCTCCTCCTGAAGGCATCCAGATGGCTCAGAGGCTGTGGAGATCAAGCCCAGGCCTCCAGACCTCACCACAAGCACTGGACTACGAGTCAGCAGGTCTGGACTTGATGTCGGCTTCTGAAGGGTCCATTCCATTCTAAGGATAAACACCTCCATCAGATCTGCCCCTGGCAACTGCATAGAGGTAGGAGCGTTGTGCAGGAGGCTGTTACCTGACTCTCAGCTCAAGAGAAAGTAACGACTAACAGAGATCCCAGGAGTGGTGGCTGTATCCATCACTGGGACCTGCTGCAAGACTCCTTGCCCTGTAAATATTAGGGACAACTAGGTGAGTGGACATGGCGGGTTCTCGCCCTTGGTGCTCTCCAAGCCTGGAGCACCTACACGTTCCTTGCCCTCCAGCAAGCTCACCCTGTCCCAAGGCCCCCGGCTGCATAATGTTTGCCCCCTATCCAGCCTGCTGGCAGCCCTCAGCCCTGTCCTGAAGCTTCCCTCTCTCCATAACCTTCAGTGGCTCCGTCCATGAGTCCCTTGTGTTTGAAAAGTTCATCTAGGTATCATCCAAATCCAAGTCTCTGGCCCTGCCTGGGCGCACTCGGACCTCAAACTCCCAGCGTGTTCGCCTAAGGGGACACGGGGCCTAGGAGGGCCCTCCAGGTGGGGAGCAGTTCTAGAACTTTCACAACTAGCTGCGTCCAATCCCGCAGGCCTTGGAGAGTCGCTCAGTTCCACGGGAGTGCTCGCCACAGCGTCCTTATGACACTGGCAAGGACGATGAGTTTGAGCAGCAGAATCGCATCCAAACACGGTGAGGCGCCCCAGGGTCGAAGCAGAGTTAGCACCGCCCCTCGCACTAAGCAAGTGGGAGGTTCCGGGGGTCCAGTGTGCAATGTACCCACTGCACTGCCCTTCCCCTGGGCCGCGCGGGCGGGCCCGAGAAGCACAGTCTTTGTCTGCTGCGCCCCGTAGTGCCCCCGCCCGCCTGGTCCGAGGCCACACCCTCCCGGAGCGCGCAGCCAATGAAATTTGGCGGCAGCACCCAGAGCGCGGGGTGTTGTCCGCGCCTCCTGTACCCATTGGTTGCACTCTGCACCCGCGGGGGCTGCAGCTGGTGGGGCGGGGCGCACAGCGCGAGGTGAGGCCCGGCGTGCTGGACGCCAGGGAGCGCTTTCCATCCAGCCGCCACCCGGACCAGGCTTTGCGCCCGGCTGCGAGACAGCCGGAGCCCCGACGGCCCAGGGGTCCAAGGAGTAGTAGGACTCAGGCGGCTCGTGGAGCCGAGCCATGGCGCTCGACTTCCTGGCCGGATGCGCTGGAGGTAAGGGCACTCCAGGCATGCCAGGCACGCAGCCTGCCCGGTACGCGAGGACAGGTGTCTTCTTGACCCTTCCGTGTGCACTGGGTGTGAGGTCTGGGGATCCCGGCGGTACCTCGGCTTGGCCAGAAGCAGGGACAGACGGAAGGATGCGGGCGCGCAGCCCGCGGATTCTTCCCTCCCGGCAACTGTCCGAGCGAGGCTGGTGTCACCGTGCGACCTCCTAGAGGGCTGACCTGACCTCAGGCGCCCAGTGCTTCCCATGTGGTGCTTTGAGCTGCTACAGGACTCAGAAAAGGAGGAAACGGCCTACCGGGTGGTCAAAGTCAACCTGACTCTGGAGAGCTTGAGGCGGAGAGCAGACCAGATTTGCCCGTGGCCCGACTGTGCGGACCTGTTGAACCTTTAGTGTCTTTTCTTGTACCTAGCTAGAGGCATAGTTCATTTAGTAAGTATTATATACAGAACCTGATTTAACCGTAAGGATTCCAGGTACATCGGCCGACATGGCAGTGGTCTGGCTGGTTACGTCAAGGCTGGGTTCAACTCTGAGGCCCAGGCCTGGCTCCTCAACCCACCTGTCCTGTTGTCTTCCTCTGCTTACCATCATGGCCCTACCAGGAAAGATCTCACCCGAAAAAGGTCTCCCTTGGCCTTAGGTGCTTAATCTGTGCTTGCTTCTTCCTGGGCAGAGAAGGCTGGTCTGGCAGGATGCCTTCCCAGGGCAGTGATGTGCCCACAAAGAGCTTGAGAGCCGCCAGGCTGTAACCCAGGCTTTCCTCTGTAAGCCGTGGGAGGGGGCAAAGCCCAGGATTTCTGCAAGTTGGTGAGGAATTAGAGACCCAGCCGGAGTCCCGTCTTAGCCCCCACCAGTAGCAGGAAAGATGAAGTCCCCTCCTATGACCAAGCCCCCCACCTCCTATTTTGCTGCAATCTCCCCAGGGCCACGGTTCCCTCTGTGGTTGCAACTTCCAGATCTGCTTAGAAACCCAGACTGCCCCCATGGTTCAGCCACCCCTTACTCAAGCAGGCCTTTCCTACCTCAGATGCCCATCCATCTTCACCCCGCCTGTCTCAGGGGAAGCATGTACCTCCAGCCCCGGAATGCACTCCCACCCAGGGTGCATAGAGAGAGCCCGGCTACATGGAAGTAAGGCAGGGTGGGTCTGAGATGGGAGTCACCTGCAGGGCCTCGTCTGGGCTCATCCAGCAAGGAAAGAAATGGGAAGAGGTTGTGACCTCACACTCAGCCTCTCTGAAGGGATAGGGCTGCTGGGGGTGGACAATGATCTGATTGTGTCCTGGGCGTGCCTTTGGGGTTCCAATCACTGCTTGCTGTCAGACATGCTCTGGATGTGGGGATCTGGCCTCCTCAAGCGCCTGCCTGGAAGGGATGATGATGGGGCAAATTTTCCAGAGGAAGAATGCTCTGTGGGTGTGCCTGCGTGGCCCAACACACATCCTATCTCTTTAGCTTCTGTGGGAGGCAGGGCAAATATCTTGACTAATGGATTGGTTTCTGGTAGAAACTTATCTGGTAGATGGGTAGAAATGCTTCTAATCAGTTCCTACTGTGAGAGGGTCTCAAATCTTGAGGCCACAGTGGCTCCTGGGTTCTGGATAGGGCATGGCTGGTGTGACCTGGTTACCAGGTAGTGTCTGTGGAGGCAACAGGCTTGTCATCTCTCAGAACTGCTCCCAGGTGCTCCCAGGCGGCCCCTTCCTGTCCTCGGATGCTCATGGTGTCAGAGTCACTCTGGCTGTGGTCAGGGTCTTTGGATTTGAGGGGTCCCTTCTGCTGGTGTGACTACACTTGGGGGATCCTCTCAGAGATGGTTTCCCAGCAGAAGGGGTGGGTTAGAGGGTTTCCGGTCTCTTCAGGGTCTTGGAAGTGCCAAAGGCTGCTGTTGCTGGCATCAGGGGGCCTTGGAGGGAGAGGGAGGAAGGTGAACAGGGCATATCCAGATGCCCAGCACACCAGCCATGGGTGATAGGCTTTCTGAAGCCCTAAAAGATTCAGATTATCCCAAGAAAAGAAGTTCAGGAAGCAGGATTTGCAAATACGAAAAAGCGGTAAGCAGGGGCTGGGCGACTGGGCTCTGTGAGTCCTGGTTTTGCCCCAGTCACCACTAACCAGGAGGTTAAAAGCAGGTGAAAATGGGTGTCTCTCCAAAAGGAGGAATTGAGGTACCACCAACACAAACAGGTGATATTGGGAGGCCATGAGCAGCTCCAAGAGACAAGGAGCCTGTCTGGAAATGGTGACTAGGGGGAATAGATTATAGTGGAAATTTCCCTGGCTTGGAACAGGGCCTGAATCTGCAACTCGAGGGCTGGTGGAGTGCCAAGGGGGGGTTGCTTTAAAGGAACAGGCGCACCCTTGGCATCCCCTGGCAACATTCCTAAAATCCACATGTAACATCTCCAAGGTGTCCAGACGAAACAATGAGGAGAGGGTAAGCAGTAGGCTTCTCACCTGCAGACTCCAAGATGAGAGGCAGCGTGGAAAAGTGGCAGTGATGGGGGCCAGGGGTGGGTGAGGGCTCAGGGGATGCCCCCCTTTTTTCCTGGGTAAAGACTGGAGTGTTACTAGAAAGTGTCCTACTGGACACTGAAAGAGCAGATCACAGGAAAGCCAGATATGGTGGCACACTTGCAGGGACAGGCTGATCTCTGAGAGTTTGAAGCCAGCCTGGTCTATATAGGGAGATCCAGGCCATCCAGGGTCACACAGTGAGACCCTGTCTCCAAAAGGAAAAAAAATGGTTTGGCTTGTGTGTTGTTTTTTATTTATTTGTTTGTATTTATTTATTTTGGACAGAAGCGTGAAACACAGTGGACATTATAGAAGGATGCAAGGCACAGTTTGGGAGCAGATGTCACCCTTTAGTGTCTCCTGGCAGGATCTGTGGCCATCCCAGGCAGGACCAGGAGAGATGCTGAGAGGCTAGGACACAGCCCTCGCATGAGTAGAGCTACAGTTGCATCACTTACTGGCTGTGTACCGGAGACGCACTGCTGTGGGCGTCTTGGTTCTGGTTTCCTCAATTGTAGAATGAATTCATAGGCCTCTGAAGTGGCAGAGTTAGGATCTGTATGAACCAAGAGCGTGACCGGCAGTGTGTAATGTTACTGTTCATTGCCGTTAGACATAAAATACTAGCAGTCAAAGGGGATTTCTTTCTTTCTGCATTGCTAAGGGAGGAACCCAGGACCTCAAGCACTGAGCAGGCGCTCCACCTCTGGCTGCCGGCCAGCCCCAAAGAGGCCCTTGGGCAGATGTTTCCTAGAGAAGGAAACCTCCCTGACTCCTGTTTCTTCTGAGAAATGGGGTCATTGGGCTGCAAGGGGGTATGGGGGTTGAGGAGAGTCACACCGATGTTCACTACCAACAGGCCACTGAGGAATGTTCTTAAGCCTTTGGGGAGAGGTGAACCCTGCTCTTGTGGGCGGGGTCTCTGGCAGGCCCTTAAGTGATAAAAATACTGAGCATGACTCAGAGCAGTGTGGCACTTGGGAGGTGTTGGCCAACAGGCAGCAGGTCCTCAGGCAGTATTTCCTGGGGGTTCCTAATCTCCAGGCTATCCTAGAGTGGGGGGAGGGTAGGAGGAGGAGGATGCTAAGTGCCTTTCAGGTGACCAAGGGCTGCAGGGGGTATGGGGGTGATGAGAGTCACACCGATGTTCACTACTCCGACTCCAACATCCCAGGTTCAAATCCCAGTGACAGGCTAACCTCCAACTCCAACAGCCTGGGTTCAGATTCCAGTGACAGGTTCAAATCCCACTGACAGACAGGTTCAAATCCCACTGACAGGCTAACCTCCAACTCCAACAGCCTGGGTTCAAATTCCGGTCACAGGCTAACCTCCTATTCCAGTATCCCCAGTTCAAATCCCACTGACAGGCTAACCTCCTACTCCAACATCCCAGGTTCAAATCCCAGTGGCAGGCTAGCCTCCGACTCCAACAGCCCCAGAGCCTTCTGTAGTGTTAGGCTTTGGGATGGTGCTATACAGTTCCCCCAAGGGATACATGACCTCAGGGAACTGCAGGGGGAGGCAAAGGACACAGCATCTGAGTTAAGCTGATGCAGGCTGCCCCTTGTTACCAGAGGGGAAGTGACAGGAATTCCTGGGATGTACCCAGGGTCCCGTAGAGACCTGATCAGTGTTCCCTTCCCATGCGTCCTGCCTGTCCATCTTTCCTTGGCAGAACCTTCCTGTCCCAGGATTCTGCAAAGATCTAAAGCACTTGGTCACAGGTACCTTTTTCTTCCAGGTGTGGCAGGTGTGCTTGTGGGACACCCTTTTGACACAGTCAAGGTGAGTCTCCTGTGCAGGGAAAGGCAGGCTGGGACAGGCCTGCAGTGTTTCTGGCCCTGGAACACAGTAAAGATCATTCCTCGGGTTTTAAATGAGGCAGGGCGGCCGCCCCTCACTGAACGAACTGACTGACCCTTCCTCCTGGGCATTGCGTCTTCCACAGAGGCTGAACTGCCTGAGTTCACGGGCTCAGCTTTACTTGGCAGAGACTGAGGTGTTGATGGGCGGGTTTCTTGTCAGCCAGGGAGAGAAAGCCCACCCTGTTCTGATGTATAGTTCCCTAGCATCTTCTTTGAATTATTAGCCTGTGTGTTTTGCCTGCATGTATGTTTGTGCGTCATGTGTGTGCCTGGTGGGACTGGAGTTTCAGGTGGTTGTGAGCAGCTATGTGGGTGCGAGGAATTGAACCCAGATCTTCTGGGAGATCAGCCAGTGCTGTTAACTGCTGAGCCATCTCTTTAGTCCTACCCCTGACATCTGAAAGAAAGTAAGAGGTCAGAAAAGGCAGAAATATAAGGAATCCGACCCTAGTGGGCCAGGTGTGATAGGTAGCACACCTGGAATTCCAGTCCTGGGGAGAATTAAGAATTTGACACCAGCACGAATTGGGAAAGCCTGCCTCAACAGCTGGATGTGGTAGCAGACGCTACGGTGGCGGCATTGGGAGGCTAAGGCAGAAGGACCACAAGTTTGAGGCCAGCCTGAGCTGTATAGCAAGGCCACGTCACACACACACACCAGAAATAAACTCGAGGCTATTTCCCTTTCAGTCTTTATGGATCAGTGCTTGTCACGACTGTCCTGAGTGCTGGCATGTACCTGCAAGGCAGTGTCACCCAGCAAGGTCCTAAGAAACACTTCCAAATGGCCAGGGCTCTGAACATGGACAGACACCCTGGGGCAGGTACCTCCTGAATCACACCTCGATTATCACTGGATCTCTGGGTCCTTAGGATCCCAGGACAGAGATCAAGGAGACAGACGCACACCATCTGGTGGAAAAGCCCTGTGGTCGGACTTGTAACTGCTCAAGCTGGCCACATCAGGACCAGCCTCAGCCGTTTTCCTTGTGCCCAGTGTCCTGTGAGCAGCAGGGCTCGAGACCAGACCTGTACTTGGTTCAGGCTCTGTTCCCACTGGTGTGAGGGAAAACCTGGAGGCTGAACACACCATCCCCAGCTAGCTTAAGCTTCACATACTTTTTCTTCCTTCAGTGAAGCGGGTGTTTGCTGGCACAGAAAGTAGCTCATTAATTCAGAGCTGGGGTTTCTTCCAATGTGGGTGTAAGACCCTGGCCTTGTGCACTGGCTTCGACCTTACAAAGCTCTGTCCTTGGTCCAGGCATCTGCGAGGTGACAGGGTGGATGAGGTTACAAAGTCCTGTTGTCCAATGTGCACCAGGATAACTTGTGTCTCGTTAATGGGTTAAATTGCAGGCCACAGGCAGCATAGACCTGTCACCTGGCATCCCTGGGGACAAGGCCAGAGAGCAGACTCTTGGCAAGCAATGGCCCATGAGTTCCATTCACAGGCTTGCAAGATCCTGTCCACAAGGTGACCCACCATGCCCACATTCTGCCTGGATGCCTTCTCCCATTCACAGTGAGGCTGGCCAGAGTCACACATCATTGTGTTAGTATCTTGTGGGCGGATGTCTCAGACACCTCCCACAGCTGTGTCGGGTCAATGAGAGCCGTGGATTCACATCCTCAGCCTGGCATTGCAGAGGCTGCTGACTTGACTGGTACTCACTTCTGAAGCAGGCCCCTCGGGTATGAAAACACTTTTGTCCTGGTAGCCCCAACTCCCCCGAGCTGCTGGGCCCACGACCACCCCTCTGCAGTTATTCAGCCACAGGAGTCACTCCCCTGCCCACGGATACCCGTAAAGTGATCGTTCAGAAAATCAATTTGTACACCCCCAACCCCCAACTATGGTTGAGCTATTGACATTCAAGCAAACTGGCCATATAAAGCAGTTTGCTTGTTTTTAATGTATATGGGAGTTTTGTCTGTCTGTGTATCATGTATGTGCCTGATGCCCATGGAGGCCAGAAGAGGGCATTGACTTCCCTGGAACTGCAGTTACAGAAGATTTGAACCAGAGTGGGTGCTGGGAATTGAACCTGAGTCCTCATACAGCAGCCCTTGCACATGCTAGGTAAACCAGTGTAGTTCCATCACTGAGTCATGGCAGACCCTTTCTGATTCAGGTCTAGGGGGCTTCCTAGCTCTTGAGACCGTGATGTGACCTAATTTCCCTTCTAGCTGTAACATGGATTCCAAGTTCAGGATACGCCCCCCCCCTCATGCCACCATGAAGCCAGCATATCAAGAGCAGATAAGCTCTCAGGCAACGGAGTGCTTTGATGTGGGAAGAGGTTCTGGGTCTGGCAGTGTCCCCAGGTCCTGGAGTTATTGCCGTGGGTACCTAGGAGGCTGTCAGCTGTCTGCCACCACTCATGCCTCATGGCCATGGTTGTCAAAGGGCTACTAGAAGGAACCAAGCAGGAGCAGAACGGAGGCCCAGAATCCCACCCTGATGGAGGTTTCATGGTGGGACACCAGGCTGGGGTTCCTCTTTGGTCTCAGCCCCATAAGGGAAGACAAGTGTCACCTGAACAAGGGTTGGTGGCAGTGCACAGGAAAGACCTCTTCCACTTGTCTTAGGGACTCCCCGCCCATCTGCAGCTGGCTGTTCTTGTAGCTGTTAGCTCTCAAACACCCAATCGGCTGCACCCTGGAATCCCAGACTCACAAGTAACTTGTGCACTGCAGGCCCGGGGGGAGGGGGCTGCTTCAGCGGCTCTGCCTGTCCCTGCTCACTGGCTCTGTCTGCCCCTGCAGGTGCGGCTGCAGGTACAGAACATGGAGAAGCCCCAGTACCGAGGGACACTGCACTGCTTCCAGTCCATCGTCAAGCAGGAGAGTGTAAGTGCCTGGGCAGGGCAATTGTTGGGCCGGGAGCAAGCCTGGAGGTGCTATTACCACAGGCCAGAGCTCAGGGAAGGTCACTGGGGTACCCATGAGGGACCATGGGTGTGTAAACCGATTGCTGGGGCATCATCCTGGATTGAGGACGTTGTATCGACCAGAATTCTGCGGGCTGCCCATGAGCAGCCGGTGGTTAGGGCTGCACAGGGCCTGAGGAGAGTGACTGGCCAACGCAAGCAGGGCGACAGCCCTCATCCCCGATGGCGTTTCTGTCTCTGCAGGTGCTGGGCCTGTATAAAGGTCTGGGCTCACCACTAATGGGGCTCACCTTTATCAATGCACTGGTGTTTGGGGTGCAAGGAAACACCCTTAGGGCCCTGGGCCAGGACTCGCCACTCAATCAGTTCCTAGCTGGTGCGGCAGCAGGCGCCATTCAGTGTGTCATCTGTTGCCCCATGGAGCTGGCCAAGACCAGGCTGCAGCTGCAAGACGTGGGCCCTGCCCGAACCTACAAGGGCTCCCTGGACTGCCTGGCACAGATTTACCGGCACGAGGGTCTGTGTGGCGTCAACCGAGGCATGGTGTCCACGCTTCTGCGCGAGACACCTAGCTTTGGTGTCTACTTCCTCACCTACGACGTACTGACGCGTGCCATGGGCTGCGAGCCAGATGACCGCCTGCTGGTGCCCAAGCTGCTGCTGGCGGGGGGCACGTCGGGCATCACATCCTGGCTCTCCACCTATCCTATGGACGTGGTTAAGTCACGGCTACAAGCTGATGGGCTGCAAGGAGCCCCCCGCTACCACGGCATCGTCGACTGCATGCGGCAGAGCTACCGGGCTGAGGGCTGGCGAGTCTTCACACGGGGGCTGGCCTCCACGCTGTTACGTGCTTTTCCCGTCAACGCTGCCACCTTTGCCACAGTCACCGTGGTGCTTACATACACCCGGGGCCAGGAGGCCCAGCTAGACAGTGAGGCGGTTCCGAGCACCTCCGCCACCCCTGCTGGGCCTGCCCTGGCCCAGCCTTCCAGTCTGTGATGCTGCCTAACATATGGACATCCCCAAGGCCAGTTGGCTGAAACCTGACACAGATAATGTGGCTTCTCGGCCAGTCTCCTTGCTCCTTGGCTGGTGACAGCAGCCAGGCTATACCCCCACTGACCTCCTGTTTTCTTAGCTGTAAAATGGGGACTCTTCCTCGTACACGGTATATTCGGGAAGGTCAAGCCTGCCTAAGTTGACACTCCGCAGACAGCACTGCCAGTGAGAATCTTCCAAGACCTACACTCCAGGGTTCTCTCCTGAGCCAACTGTAACAAGCTGGCCAAGGACCCGCTCCTTCCCACAATCCCAGGAAGACATTGGCCTCTTCTTACCATTAGGGGCAGAGGCCAGTATGGAATGCGCCTGGCACTTCTCAGCTGCTGCCCTTGAACTGCATATGGGGCTAGGGCCCTGGATCCTACCTGTGTAGGGCCTACCTGGGGAGCAGATGGGTTACTGGCCTCAGTGTCTCCACGGTGAAATTGTGTGACAGCTGTGACAAGAAGTCTTCTCATCCCTGGGTCTCTAGCTACCTGTCTGTACAATGGGGACCTTGGTCAGCTGAGGTCTGGCTCACTACTGCCAGTCAGGATTCCCAATGATGGGTAGGCAGAGGGGCCAGGAGAACACAGTGCGAGATTGCTCCCCTTCCCAGTAAATGTCCCTGTGAGCATTCTCAGTGCCTGTGCCCCTGGTCTTAGCACCTGGTACAGTGTAGCTCTCTGGCTGGCTGTGACTGTTGTACAGGGCCCTCTAAAGGAATAAAGCCTTGTTTTCTAAGTGTGTCACGCTCCTCTCTGCAGGGTGCAAGGGACTTCATTTCCTTTCTTGCTCTGCATTCAAGTGGCTATGGCCTATGTACTTGGACCTGGCCACATTCCTGGTCTACATGGTGGTAAATGGAGGCATGAGGGTTGCTTAAAGTAAAATCACAAGCATGCCCTTTAGCAAGTATTGGCTGTCATTCCAGGAATTGGAGGCCTGTGGTGGGGACACAGGTCCCCTGGTGAGAGAAAAGTATGAGAGCGTGTGCCCTGTGATTAGTCTTTCTCTGTCCTGCCAACTCCCAAATCATGACACGGAGACTGACAAATTATGACAGCTTGGCCTTAGCTTAGGCTTGTTTCTAACTTGCTCTTATAACTGCAATCAGTCCATTTCATGTCCTGCTTCCTCTGCATCTGGCTGGGGACTCCACGTTTCTTCTTCCTAGAGGTCTCTTTGTCCGGAAGTCCCACCCATACCTCCTGCCTAACTATTGGCCAGTTAGCATTTTATTAAAACAATCACAGTGACATATCTTTCAACTGTAATAAAAATCTCACAACATTTCCCCCCCTTTTGTCTAAATAAAAAGTGTTTTAACTTTAACAGAGTAAAACTATATATACAATAAGAACAATTATAAGGGGCTGGAGAGATGGCTCAGAGGTTAAGAGCACTGACTGCTCTTCCAGAGGTCTTGAGTTCAATTCCCAGCAACCACATGGTGGCTCACAACCATCTACAATTCAATCTGGTGTGTATGTAATAAATAAATAAATCTTTAAAAAAAAAGAACAATTATAAGGTAAGAATTACATTTACAATATCCAGTCCATCTGTATTTGGCAAATTTGGAGAAATTACCCTGTTAATCTTATTTTGATGAGTTCAAAGTTTTATACTTAAACTATTTAGACCTCAAACCATTTTCTTAGATGAACAATTGAAGCTTTTGTGTTTCTCAACCTTATACAGTTTACACCTCTTTTGTGAGTTTCTTTCTGAATTTGGTAAGAAAAAAAAACTGTAACCATCTTGTCTTCAGCTGCACCAGAGATCCAAGGAGATGTTGTCACCTGAGCCAACAGGAAGTGACTGAAACATAGCTGCTTCAACAGTCACCTAAGCTTCCTCTGCAACGTTGGGCGTCCATCTTCATCCCACAGGCCAGGGATGTCTGACAGACTGACCTAGTGGAGCCCATTCTCTATGGGGAGATACTTTGCTCAGCCTAGGCACAGGGATGTGGGGGTGGAGAGGAGCCTTGGTCCTGCCTCAAGGAGATGATGGGACAGACTTAGTAGACTTCCTAGGGGAGGCCTTACCCTCTCCGAGGAGCAGATGGAAGTAGGGGGAGAGGAGGGAAGGGGAGGGGGAAATGGGGTTGGAATATAAAAAATAAACTTTTAATAAAAAATGTAAAAACTTGATCACAGCTGGGCATTGGTAGCACACACCTTTAATTCCAGCACTTGGGAGGCAGACTCTGTGAGTTTGAGACCAACCTGGTCTACAGAGCGAGTTCCAGGACAGCCTCCAAAATCACGGAGAAAAACAAAACAAAAACAAAAAAAAAAACAAAAAACAAAAAACCAAACAACCAAACAACAACAACAAAAACCAAACTTGATCACACTTCTCCAAACTGAAAACCACCTCCAGTAAAAATAAATAAAATGATGATGATGATGATGGTGATGATAATGTGATGAGGACTCTGCCTCCCAAGTGCTGGGATTAAAGGCGTATGCCACCACTGCCCAGCATGGGTCACTTTTTTATTTTTTATTTTATTTATTTATTTTTTTGGTTTTACGAGACAGGGTTTCTCTGTATTGTTTTGGAGGCTGTCAGTCCAGCCCAGCCTTGAACTCACAGAGATCCGTCTGCCTCTGCCTCCTGAGTGCTGGGACTAAAGGCGTGCACCACCAACGCCTGATGGGTTACTTTATTACTTTACTCTTTCTTTAAATAATTCACTTTATTATTCTTAAACTTTTTTCTATGACTGTCTATACCCATTTTTTCTTTCTTTCTTTAGCATTTACGCACATTTTTTCAGCATTCCGTACCTATTTAGAGGTTCTTTTAGACCTGGACTTGGCTTTACTAAGTGCTCACAGCATTCTCTGTTTGTGTGAACAAAGGCTTAAATTGCTGGGCTGTGGCTAGGTCCTCCCCTTGGTTCCCTGACAGTCTAGCTTCACGCAGGCAGTGGTACAGGCAGGAGCCGCATCTATTGTCCTAGCTCTTGGAAGTTGCTGAGACCACCTTGCTGAGTCTCCAAGAATGGCAGCTGATCATTATGACTGCTCGTGGAGAGGCCCACGGAGTGAGCACGGCCTGGGTCACAGGGCACTCTACGTCTCCATCACCCTCAACTCTACACACCCATGCTTTCCAGAAAAGTCCTACCATGACCAAGCAAGACTGTTGGGTCTGAGTCAGCCGCCTCCCTCCAGGGCTAGGGCTACAAGAGATAGACAAGCCTTTTCCTGAGGAGTGATGGACCAGAGCCACTAGAGGCTGCCCTGTGGCTTCCTCGGAATTGATAACCTCAATAGTAGCTCCAAACAGTAGAAACTGGTAGTACCCTATGCAGCACTGACATCATATAAACGCCGCAGCCTTGACCTAAGCTCCCCAGTTTTGAGTGTAAATGCTAAGTGACTCCACATCTTGTTTACACAAGTAAACACTATCGGCCAGCATACCGGGAGGCACAAACTGATAATTTATGTGTCAGTAAATAATGACTTCTGTGACTACATCAAGTCACATCAGAAACACCAGACACCGGATAGAAACTCACTGGGGACTCCCAAGTGAGCACTGGGCTGGTGATAGGGCCCAGCGAGGAAAGGAGATTGCAGTCAAGCCTAACAGCCTGAGTTCAGTCCTTGGGACCCACAGAGGGAAGATGCAATGGCGCCCTTCAGCTTTTCCTCTGACCTCTTGAACGCACCCACCTCAAAGGCCTGCACTTGCGGCTCCTATGAATAACCTGGTCCCTAACAGCCTCTTCCATGTGTCAGCTCTCTGCCGTCTGTACAACCTCGATTATACTAGAAACCCTCTTGGCCATTCCTGCCATCATGTATAGTTGTTGTGTGACCTGTGAAGTGTGACGACAATTAACATTAGTAATGAAGACAGAAATAAGAGGCTGAAGAGATGGGCTGGGTTCAGTAAGAGCGAAAGACCCGGGTTTGGTTCCCACCCTCCATAACTCCAGTTCCAGACCTGACACTCTCTTCTGACCTCTGCAGGCATCAGGCACATGGTGTAGACATAAATGCAGGCAAAACACTCATACACCCTAAATAGTTTTTTTGGTCTTTTTTCGAGACAGGGTTTCTCTGTATTGTTTTGGAGGCTGTCCCGGAACTCACTCGGTAGACCAGGCTTGGTCTCGAACTCACAGAGATCCGCCTGCCTCTGCCTCCCGAGAGCTGGGATTAAAGGCGTGCGCCACCACCTCCCAGCCTAAAATAAATATTTTTTCTTTATGTTTTTTTAAGTCTAAGTCTTTCTGGCCTGCCTCTATCTTTCAAGTCCTGGGCTTATACGCATGTGCCGCTATGCCTGGCTTCGGATCGGGATTCTACTACAAAAGCAGGGCAGAACAGATGTGAAGTTAACACTAAGATTCTGCCACCTTCCCAAATACCTGGCCAATCTGTGGCCAGAGGTAACAGGTGACTCTGAGTGGTGAGTGGTCCAAGCACCAGAGGACGTCGGGAGAAGCCAAGGCTCACTGCATGTGCCATTGTTTCCTACTGCTAACTGACCTCAGACCTCACGGCACCCACCTGTGTGGGCTTCTTGATACGGCAGAAGGGAGGGAAATGACCACCTCAGTTTGTATGTCCCTATGATAGACAGAACTTGGGGTCCCATGAGAACTGCATCAACCCCTTCTTCCAAGGGCAGTATCCCCATGACCAATCCATTTCTTTCTTTCGTTTTTTTGGTTTTCCGAGACAGGGTTTCTCTGTATTGTTTTGGAGGCTGTCGGTCCAGCCTGGCCTCGAACTCACAGAGATCCGCCTGCCTCTGCCTCCCGAGTGCTGGGATTAAAAGCGTGCGCCACCACCGCCTGGCGACCAATCCATTTCTTAAAAAGACACAGCAGCGAGGCGGAATCTCAGTGTCCAGACCCCCTTCTTCCACCAGGCTCACTAAAGTCCCTTCCCACCCGTTCTTAAACCTATCTCTGGGACAGCAGGCTCTCCCCACACATCAGGACAGGACTCCACTGTGCCCTAGGGGTGTACACATAGTACCCACCCCAGACCTGAGAAAGGTCCCCTTTGGACTTCAGACTGGCTACCCTCTTCCTATTGGCAGATGTCCTGGCACCAGGCCACCTGGCTACTACTTCTCAGATGAGCAGGCCCACTTAGGGGTGAGAGGGAGAAGCTCCCCACTTGCCCTGTCACCTACCCCTCCCATCCAGCCTCCCTGTAGCACACATACCCAAGCCTTGAACTGGCGGCCTTGTACCTTACTCATTTGCAGCTTCGTGGCATGGGCAGCTCTTCTGCCGTTGAATGTGCCAGGGTCCACAGCATCCTCCTGCAGCGGAAGATGGAAAGGCAGCTTACATGGCACGGAGTAGAGGACATGTCTAGGATGTGGAAAGCTTCCTGGTACGGCAGGATAGGCCCGCCATGCGCAAAGGCTGAAGGACAATGGGGACAAGTACTGGGAACCCCTACCTTGTATATAACATGTGGCAAGAACCGAAGTCCCTGTCCCCAAGCTTGTGTGCCAGCTGTCCGGCCTCCTCATTCTCCCTAAACCTGCGCTTTTCCTCCCTCTTCCTTCCTGTTCTGTGTAGCCCGGGCTGCCCTGGAACTCAGAGATCCCAGGGATCCCCTTGTCTCTGCCTTCCAGAGTGCTCGGGTTAAAGACGTACACCACCAACTGCAGCTAACCCTGCACTTCTTCATAGCATCACACTTAAGGGTTACGTCTTCTGCTAGGTAAGGTACAAGTGCCAGCGAGGGGAGGTAGGGCCATGATTTCCTTAAACGGGGCACGACACATAAACACTTGATGGAGGAGGCAATGCCAGGCAGGCAAGCCAGGGCGCAGAGATCCCTCTGGAGGTTCAAGCACAGGCCTGGGTTGCAGCTGAATTGCTACACAGGAACAGGCCATTTTCCAGCAGGAAATGGGGAGCTGCTACAGGTCTGGTGCTGAGCCCCAGGCCGCTGACGGTGCAGTCTAGCAAGGCCAGCGAGGCTCTATAGTGGGGGTAGCTGGTACAGTTTTCTCGTGTCCACAGCAGCTCACTGTTGTAGCTCAGAAGGTCCAGCTGAGGTAGAAAGCCCCATGCACTGTATTTGTAAAGGGCAACCGCAGCTTCTCTGAAAGGAGGTTGGAAGATAGTCCAGGCCAAGGGACCAGAGCGAGCACTAAAAGGCCTGTTTCTCCGTTCTTAGTGCAGCATGTTCTCCAATTCTAGTGGTTAGGAGATGAAAGGGTATATTCACATGTCACTCTCAGAGAAGCAGGGGGTAGTCTTTGGGAAAGCCTCCAGAGAACAGCCCATTTACCAGTCAAAGATGCAGGAACGGATCAATGTTCACCCCAGCTGCTCAGCCCTTTTGGCCCCAACAGTTTTAGGATCACAGGGGCTGGGGCCTTGCCACCTCACAACATTATGCCTACAGCTCCATTTCAGTATAGTTTGAGGGTGGGGCACACAACCTTGTGTGCTCCAGGGCCCCAGGCAGGCAGAAAAGCACATCCCCAGCCAAGCCCTAGACAGTTGGGTTACCAGTCCCTTTTGGCTCCCAAGCTTCCTGGGCTAACAGCGGGGGCTCGCCAGCCTAGCTGCATGATAAGCACTTACTTGGCTGTGCTTTCTGTTGAGAGTAGGTGGGGCTCTTACTACAACTCCTCTTGGCCTGGAAGTGAAACATTTCTTGTACTTGTGACACTATTCCTAGGTGAGAATTCAGGACCCCCTCAGACCAGGGGTAGGGGTAGCAGAACCCCAGGCTTAAGGTGGAATGACACTCGGCAAATCGATGAACAAACAAGAACCCCAGGCATTGAAAAGCTTAACATTAGCGTTTATTGTATTGTATAGAGCCATGTTACACATGCTTGGTGCTTCAAACTGAGTAATCATGTTTTCCTGGATGCGAAGCCATCTGATGCTTGATGCGAATGCTTTAAATACTATAATATTTCTGTGTCTATGATCTATGAGCTAAGGAAAAACCAAGGACAATTCCAGAACAGCAAAGAACACTTAAAAAGATGTACATGACACACAATGCAAAGTCCTTGAGCCAGGGCCTATAGGAGTTCCCAGAAAATGAAAACACAGCTTTTCTTGTCATTTGAAGACATCAGTCTAATGCTAGCTGCTGGCATTATCAAAGAGGTGACTCTGGTACTGACGCCTTCTCCCCTCCATTATGCTATGTATGTGGACACCATGTGGCCCCAGGCAGGGAGGTAGACAACCCGGCAAAGTCACCCATCCCCAATGTCATTTCTTAGGGTGTATGAGTGGCCTTAAATAGTGTCATCAAACCTGCCGCCAATTAATACATCCCCTTCCCTCAATGGACTCCAGAATGTTGGCTGGGCATACCTTGTACTTGCCTGTGTGAGGTGCACCTGCCTAATGACCTGCTGCCAACATTCAAGCTCCAATTCTCCCTTTATAAGGAACAGAGTAACATTTGTTCACAACTGCCACTCACCCTTCCTATAAAGTCTAAATAATGTCCAGCTAGAGGATGACCTTCCTGGCACGATACAGACCAATTAGGCCCAAAGACGATGCCAGGAAGCCTCTTAGCCACACACCTATCCTCTCCCGCCTGGTGCCACTCCCATCCAAAGGGCCTGTACTTAAGCACACCCTGAGAAAACCGACAAGTGGAGGAAGAGGTCAGCACTTTGGAGACCCAACCAGTCTGTCCAGTCAATGCTGCTGGGAGGTGAGTGATTCGAAGCATGAAGTAAGTACCTTTTGTTCTGACCAGCCAAAGAGCAGGATGAAGGTGTTCACTCAGAGCTGCAAGCGAGCAATATGCCTCAGAGTTCTGACTTCTAGAGTCAGCTGGAATCTTGGGTGGAGTGCACCTGCCAGGTCCTGCTAGGCCTGGACTTTGAAGAGGTGCTGAAGTCACACTGACACCAAGGGACTGCAAGGACAAAGCCTTTTTAGTAGTCATGGCATCTACTGGCAACTCTGCTCACCCCTTTTCCTGACCCCTGAAGTCCCTGCTCTTGCTGTAGGCTAGATGTTGAGAGAATAAACACGAACACTGCAGACTGACAGAATCATGCCAATTGTGGAGCACAGAGGAAAGGTAGAAGCAGTCAGGTCTCTCTGCCTGTGGTGGAGAGTGGGTGAAATTAGGGGCAAGATTTCCTGGGTCATAGACATACACATTCTAGTGTGAGTGATCTGAGGTTATACCACAGGTGAGTCCTGCAGAGTGGAAGGCGGGTGGGTGCTAAGCCAGGCCAGCACCGTAACCCCTGGAGCACCGCACACCTCACTGACAGTAGGTTCTTATTTCTGTGAAGACATAAGTACAACTCTGCCTAGAAATACAGGCAAGCATTGCACACATCATTCCCTCAAAGGGTCTTACAGTCCCAAACTTAGCAAAACAAGTGGCATTCAGAAGAACCTGTGCATGGAAACCAAATAGGGAAAAAAAGTCTTGGGTTTTCCTCAGCTCCTCCGGCCTGGAGTCTGGGCAAAGTACACACATCGCATGGGACCAGCACGGCGGAGTTCAGCATCTCTGTGGGAAATAAACGTCACTCTGGAGTGACAGCTCTGTATAGATAATATGCCCCCAACCCCACTACCAAAGAGGGGCAAGTAACAAATTCAAAAATAGAAAACAACATCTTATTAGGTGTAAACTTATCCTCTGGAGTTTTTACATTACATTTGCTAAAAACATGCATTTATTTCTGCTCAGATGTAAGAAAATAGGTCTATCAGTATTACTTATAAATCAGATCAGTTCTCTAGACAATGGACTCACTGTTAGAACGGCATTTCAAATTTTAGTAAATTACATCTATAACAAAATAATAGGTTCTAACAAGCAAAATGGGTTTAAGTCAAACCAAAGCCAATGAGAGAAGCAGCTTTCCTCTGGCCACTGCCACTCATGTTAGTTCCCTATGCTGTTGTCCTAAGCCCAAATTGCAGTCAGCAAGGACCTGCATACCAAGCTGTCTTTGAACCCCAAATGAACTCCTAACAGAAGTTAACTGCACACTGACAAGATAAGGCTAACACAGAAAGGGCGAAGACGATGACTGTTCCACTCAGACAGGAAGGGACAAAAAAGAGATGGCCAAGGGCATCTCCCAAGGAATCAAGGCACAGAGGATGAGGCCTCACTCCATACACAGGCCCGACTCTCCGGGTGGCTGGCAGGCCTTCCCACAGCACAGATCTGCTCTGCTGTGGAGCCTTGGGCAAGGGTCTTGAGGAGGTGCCAGGGCCAGACTCAAGGGTGGCAGGACACTGGGTGAGGGAGGGCAGCGTGGCTCTGGACTCCTGCTGCAGGGCATTTGGGAAAGCTCAGCCTGATGGTAGGGAGCAAAGGCCTGGGCGCTTCTGCCCGGGCCTGGCAGAGAACCACACGGGGCACTTGCTTACCTCTCTCCTGTCATCCAAGCACAGCTGGGTCTGCTGATGAGCACAGTGCCGTCAACTACTCATTGGATAACAGATTCTGGACGAATAAAAACAAGTGTCCCAGGTTACGATTTTCATTTATGGTTCAGAAGGCACTTCAAAATTCCACAGAGCCACAGGGTCACTGTTTCTAGGTCACCAATCCTCCTGGTGAGGCCGTAAGAAATTGGGCTATGTGTTAGTCTCCCGGCCTCTTTGTGACTAGATCTGGTATTGGTTTGTCATTTACCTTGTAGTTAAGCATTCAGCACAGAAAGACAGACAGTTAGGTTTGCATTTTGAATAAATGAGATTTTGATGTATCACGGCAGTTTATAAAATATTTAACAAGTCTGGTATTTGACTCTAAGTAAAATCCAAAAATTATACATTGAAGAGGTCACAACATGACAAGTCAAGTACTCACTGAGTACAACTTTCTAATAATCTAATCGCCTTGCCGCTCTGCACTTAGTGTGCTTACAAGCATTAAACAGCTACTGGCACTCAATTGCTACATCTGCTAGCATCTAATAAGGACTGCGCTGGATTTCCTATTGGACAAGCCAAGGAGCCACTGCCCTTGCAGGCAGCCTGAGTGATGAGAAGGCAGGCCCGTCCTCCCTGAGTGCACGCACTGCCAGTTGGTGCCTTCCCTCCAGAAAGCATCAGGCCCTACCTACCACACGCACCACTCCCGCACGCACCAGGATGTCAAGGGCAACCCTGGTAGCCATGGGCCATCTGCTGTACTCTGAGGTACTTCCTTAGCTTGGGGCGCCTACTGCCTACTCTTTCAGAGTTCAGGGCGTGTAGGAAATATTAAGTGTCCATGCACGGATCTCATCACAGTCACTGTCACTGAGTGCAAAATAAAGGAAACTCGAGTTGCTTTATTTAGCTTCCAATTTCTGGGAGGCTCAAGAATTATAAGTATTCTGGACAACAGAAGAAAATAAGGCTGTGCTTACAGATCTCTTTCTGCCATAATCTTTCTTTAGGATCGCTATTTTATTGTTGCCCTTTCTGTTACACGGGATGTACACATCAGGTGTTAAAAGGTACAATACATTCTACAACTGAGCACCACTTTCTGTAACTGAACAGGCAAAGAAATTACACTGAACATCAGCATCTGGCAGTATTTTTTTTTTTTTGGAAAAAAAAAGTGACTAAAATGGGTTTAAATTGATTAACACTATTAAATCACATCTAATATTTGATACTACATGATTCAATACAGCTATACGATACAATTATACAAAATGTGTTAACATCAAAGAATACAACCAAAATTAAGATAGCAAACAAAACCTATATAACTTTTTTTTTTGTACAGGAAAATACTTTTGAAGTATGCATGTAACTGCCCATTCTTTTAAAGAAAATCTACCGCAAGCAAAGTTATCAACCTCCAGAAAAATCACACAGCATTACTAAGCATATCCCCAAAAAGTGTACAATATGCACACTTGGAAAATACAAAATTAAAAAAATTGTAAGCAACAGGTGAGCTTCATATTTATAAGAATGTGAAAAGAAGTCTCATTTTTAGCACTGTTGTATAAAGAATTGTCTTTTGATGCGAAGTTCATGAACTGTCCTCCTATTGGGACCATACTTTACAAAAACACCTTGTTTTTGAAACGAGATTACAGAGCAAGATAGAGCATCTTAGCAATGTCATCTTATTAAAGTATTTTTTAAATTTTTACTACTTTATCAAAACATGTCCCTTAGGTGTGTAGGATTCATTTTTAAAATTCTTCCTAGAAATAATATACAAAGGAGAGGCATATTTATTCCCAATCATACTCCTGAAGATGCTTCCCGTGGTCGAGAAGGGTCTTCTCTCTTCTTTTCACTGGTTGTTTTTGGCTTTAGCATGTGTTAAGATGTGAGATTTCAGGTTAGTTGACTGAGCAAACTTCTTATTACAACCGTCGAAGGGGCACACATAGGGCCTGTCTCCGGTATGGATTCGCACGTGCGTGCGCAAATTGAAGTCCAGTGAAAAGCGCTTCCCACAGCCTTCGAATGTGCACTGTCAAGGAAAAACCAGACATCAACCCACTTGGCAACTGGGACCAGACTCTAGGGGCCAAGGGCACATTGCTTGGATGGAAAACCTGAGCCTGTCCTCTTCCTCTTCTGGAGAACCTTCTGGGCATATTCTAGAACTGACAGACAGGGATCTCTGACAACTTCAAGTCCACGGCTAGCTCTTGAAAAACTGAAGTGTTGTGCTAAGTGCCATTTTAAAGCTCTAGTACTTCCAGACACCCCAAAAGTAGAATACAGATGCTTAAGACATTTAGTGATGACAACTGTCAAAAAGAATTGTGGTACAGACTCGCTTGCACCGAGTCTCACCTGGAGCTGGACGTAGCCACAGCACTTCATAAGCACTGCATTAGTAATTCACACTACTCATTTAAAACACATGGGACCTCTAAGTCTCTCACATAATCCTGTTTCCCTAACAGACACCACCCACCCAGTATCCAACAGCTGCAGTTACACACAGTCACCAGGAACCCAGGCAGACCTTCAGGGAGTCATATCAGGAGTGGGAATAAGACCGCCAACCCCCACCATGCTTGATGTCACCACCCTAACTTGCAGTTTGGGGAACAGGAACTGGCTCTACCTGAAAGGGCTTCTCTCCAGTATGAACCAGCTGGTGTCGTTTTAGCTTTGAGCTCTCAACGAACGCTTTGCCACATTCTGCACAGACGTGGACTCTGGGACCGTGGGTGTGCAGATGCTTTCTCATAGCAGAGTTATCCCTGAACATCTTTGTGCAGCCCTTAAAACAGAGAAAGAAGCTTAGTGGTTCACACTGCCACCTGTGAGAAAGGACTCAACCACTCAACAGCCTTTACTGATGTTTTTACAGCAAACAACCTCCCCAACCCCCTTAACTTAGCATTACAAAACATTAAGCTATTTAAGAAAGAAAAAAAAAGTAAAAAAAAAACCAGACAGCTGAGAAAAAAGGCCTTTTTTTATTGCAAACCCGTGCTTTACAGATGAGGAAACTGAGGCTTAGAGATGTATTGAAGTAGACTTGCCCAAGGTCACACTACTAGCAGTAGCCAGTCAAGCTGGGAGTAGAACCCAGCACCCAGGCTTCCAGCTACACCACAGCCGCCTCACCCAGCTACAGCCCCCAGATGAAGTAACAGAAGCACTGAGAAATAAACGGAGTTAAAATGACGGTAGTCCACCACTACCTTTGGTGGGCCCCGTATTCTGTGCTGCAACAATGGGCTGTCATTCTCCATCGCCTACTGTTCCCTCTTCTCTCTTTGCCTCTTTCCCCTTCTTGACAGAGAAAGAAGCAAGAGGGTCTCCAAGGAATGGCAACTACAGAAGAAATTTATTTGGTGAGACACTGGGAAAAGGAAGAGGCAGGCAAAGCGATACCAGTGCGGGGGAGGCAGATGGATGTGTGGTGCCCGAGAGCAGCATGTCCTCAACAATTTCTTCTGCAGTTGTTGCCCATGATGGAGTGAGTGGGGAAATGGTGAGACAGCATGACAGAAGGACAGCACAGGTCACCACTAGACAGCTTCACAGGCAAAAGGGAGGGGAAAGCCAGTTTTCCACCTTGACCTCTAGCTTCAGCTCCCATTTATACAGAGAAGCAAAGAGATCCCGGCACTTACAGCATAACGGTTTTCAAATGCATCTTAATTTTGGCTCTTATAAAAGCCACCATGCACCCCACACCTCCACACCACAAAGCATTTACAAGGAGCACAGAGACTTAGGTGCATGGTCTTCAGTAGCCATCTCAAAGCACACTTACTCTTCTCCAACTACTGTTTTTGGAAAATTCTTTATTCCATTCATGGTTTCTTCCCCTTTATTTCTCAGCATTTACATCTTTCCCCTGTTAAAGCCCAATCAAATCTAAAAACTGACCCCCCACCCCCAAACACCTCAAACTGCTTTTCAGCCACCCCCTTAAAGACCAGAGCTGCGTTTGAAAACAGTTATGCACCTCTCTAGTAGCACAATTAACAGAGTAAAAAGAAAACTGAAGGAAATCACCAAGACTTTATATGGCCTATTCTAGCAACATCCAAAGTAAGTTCCAAGTTTCAGTCATGAGCTGAGAGTCTCAAAGACTGTGGGTGAGAATAACCCAGTGTCTTAATACAGACCTGTTAATGATCCAAAAAGATAGTCCTAACACAATTCAGTCAATATACAGAATAAGAACACTGGCCCTACAGCAGCCCCACTTAACATTTTTAAGTGTCCTTCACTAAACAAAACAAAATCAAGTCTCTTGTATTTATAAACCAAAAATCCTAATTCCTCACTCTGTACTAGTTACAAAAGTGGAAATCAGAGTACATATCCTTTACAAACTGTCTGTAGCCTAAGCAGCAGCTAACCAACACTCCCCTCGAATTACTTACTTTATGAGGGCAAGCTATTGTTCTTGGAGCATCATCTTCTTTAATTTTCCTTGGCTTCATTCTTATTGAAGAAAAAAAGGAGAAAGAGAGAGAGAGAGAGACAGATTTGTAGGAGTGGGTCACACTCAACAAGCATAAATCAAATAGTCCCAAGATTTCTCCTAGTGGCACCAACACTAAGCTCATGGCACTCCCCTTCCAAAGGGGGAAAGGACCAAACTGCCAAACTGCTGAAGAAGAGGAAGAGATCCTCTTCTGAATTCCTACCTAGGTAAGTGCTGTTGCTCCAAAAGGCTGCAATCGCTGCCTCTTGAGAACCTGGTGCAGCTCAGAACGGCACCATCAGCACCATTACTGTGTGACTCAACTCTGCTCTTCCCACCTAACCACATTAAAAAGAAACAACCCCCCCCCACAAAGAACAACCCTAACAACTTCAGACTATCTCTTAGGGTGGGGCCATGGCAAGTTACCCCAAATCAGTTGCTTCGATGACAAGGGTGCCCTAAAAAAAGGTATCTCAAAAATATACAACATCTTAGCCGGGCGTTGGTGGCGCACGCCTTTAATCCCAGGACTCAGGAGGCAGAGGCAGGCAGATCTCTGTGAGTTCGAGACCAGCCTGGACTACCAAGCGAGTTCCAGGACAGCCTCCAAAGTCACAGAGAAACCCTGTCTCGAAAAAAACAAAACAAAACAAAATATATACAACATCTTGCCGGGCTGTGGTGACGCAAGCCTTTAATCCCAGCACTCAGAGGCAGGCGGATCTCTGTGAGTTCGAGGCCGGGCTAGACCGACAGCCTCCAAAACAATACAGAGAAACCCTGTCTTGTAAAATAAATAAATAAGCAAGCAAGCAACATCTTTGAAAAACAGCAAAACTCTCTCTCTCTCTGAGATGTAATTTTGGAAGCAGCATGCATCGAATAGTACTTCTAAGCAGAATTAGTTACACCCATGTAATAACTAACTCTTAAAGGAAATCACCAATGTGTACTGACAGTTACTTCCAAGGGACTGGTGGACAGGTTTTTAGGGGGCCTGGGGTAGGGTTTCAAGACAAGGCTTCTCTGTGTAACAGCCATGGCTGTCCTGGACCTCACTTTGTAGATCAGGCTGGCCTTGACCTTACAGAGATGTGCCTGCTTCTGCCTCCCAAATGCTGGGATTAAGGGCATGTGCCACCATTGCCTATGGAGTAACTGCCTCTTAACTGCTTGTATTCCTTTTGGTGGTGGTAAGAGATGACAGTTTTTGTAGGTCTTTAATTTTACTTTGGTTTTAAGACAGGGTTTTGCCATCACAGCTAGTTTGTTTTTTAAAAACTTCTGGTTGTGGCTTGGGAGCTCCCCTGTGAGAAAAGAACTTTAGGAGTCTGGCAGCTGGGAGAACCCCAGATGAGGCTACTATTCTCACAGTTTGCCAACAAAGAACCTGTCCAGCTGTTACTTCCTCAAGAAATCTTGGTTTTTATGAAAACTCTAAACATTCCCCACAAACCGTTTATGATCAAGGGGCAAAAAAAAAAAAAAAAAAAAAAAAAGGTAAGTTCACAGAAAACTAAAAAGATTAACACTGGAAAACAGATCTTTTTATCCTTAGTTCTGCCATCTCATACTCTTCCATGAAGGATGGATGATATCTAACCAATAACTAAGGCAATTGTTTCTTTTTTTTTGAAGATGTCAGATCCCCTGGCACTGGAATTACAGGTGTGAGTTGCCACGTTGGGTGCTGGGAATTAGTTTCTTAACAATGACAATGTACCTAAGGTGCCTAACTCGTAAAACAGAGGCCCAGATTACTCTTTCCACTAAATCCAGGGAGAGGGTGACTGATCCTCCCTACACTGTCAAACCTTGCAACCTGGCCAAACTTTCCATGCCTAGAGAACACAGGAAGCTACTCCAGTGCCTAATGATCAATCTCAGAATATTTTTTCAATTCCAACCCTGTAGACACACTTTTACGTAGATCACTGGTATGCCAGTTAACAAGCATTACTTAAGTGCCTGCTCTTAAGTAACTTTTGTTGGTCTCAAATGCCTGTCTCCACTTAAGTGCTAGGATTACATGTGTAATCTGTACCGGTCTGTTGCTGTAAATAACAGTAAATCTTCAAGTTTGGGGTTCAGTTCAGAGTAGGGTAGGAGGCCAGTGCTACTCCGCCATCTAGAGGTCAGATCAGCATGAAACAGCAGCCAATTTGCGAACACCTCTATTTCTTCTTTCAAGTCTCATTTATTTGTTTATTTAGGTTGTTTGAGACAGGATTTCCTTGTGTAGCTCTGGCCATCCTGAATTTCACTCTGTAGCCCAGGCTGGCCTCGAACTCAGAAATTCCTCTGCCCCTGTCCCCTGAGTGCTGAGATAAAGGACATGCACCACTATCACCTGGCTTTCTTTCAAGTCTTTTTTTTTTTTTCCTGGTTTTTTGAGACAGGGTTTCTCTGTAGTGTTTTGGAGGCTGTCCTGAAAGTAGACCAGGCTGGCCTCGAACTCACAGAGATCCGCCTGCCTCTGCCTCCCGAGTGCCGAGATTAAAGGCGTGCGCCACCACCGCCCGGCTTTCTTTCAAGTCTTAATGGGGTATTTTGAAACAGGCTCTCTGAATATATCCCAGACTGGTCTTGAAACTGCTGTGTAACACAGGTCTAGCCTTGAACTCGCGACCTTTCTATTGTCACATGCTAACTGCTGGTAAGAGATGTTACTCCTGGTGGTGTCACTTTTTCCCCTTAAAATGACATTTTAAAAAATGTGTGCTATAGTTTAGTATTCAAATTTAGAATGAGAATTTACAACACATTTGGACAAATCTAAGACTTGGAATCAACGGAGGACCTAACTGTCCATAACAATAGAGTGGGTCTTTCCTTGGAGAAGCTTTGCTGTAAAGTGAAGAATGAAGCATTCCTACTCTACCCCAGCACTTGATATATTTTCTTCCATTCACTGGGATACTTTAGAGACCCAAAACCAGACAGGATGAGGACAACGACAGGATGGATATGTGACTTGGAGTTGGCTTCTACTAGCTTCATGACCTTGAGCAAATCATTCTTCTCAGCCTCAATTTCGTACTCTGTAAGCAGGTACACATCTCCCTACAGAGCTGCAAGGAGTTGAAGACAACACACACTAGACACCTGGGCAGTGACAGTAACTACTATCACTGGTCAAGCAGTTAGAAATGAGTTCATCCTTTTGTTTCTTTTTTTTGAGACAGTGTCCCAACCATGTAGCCCAGATTGGCCTTGAGCCTGTCAACCTTTTGCCTCAGCCTCCTATATGGTAGATCTCTAAGTACCCGGCACCACACCCAGCAAAATAAATTCACTCTTAAAAATTATGTCATTTATGCTCAACAACCCATAAGGTTCTCATATTCAGAATTATCTTTCAACCAAAGGACCAAGAGACAAGCAGAAAAGGCACCCTCAGTAAAAGTAGAGGGCCCGCTCTGCATCATGACTGCTGGACCCGAGAAGACATCACACTGTCATACACGCAAGCACCACCATGAAGACTGGACTCCACGACACACCCCTGCAGCAACTCTCTGACACAATTTTAACAGGCACTGTTTAAACCAAAGTCCCAACTAAGTTGATGCACACTAAACTCAGACCAGAGTCAGCAAGAAGGACAGTCTCTGTTGTCTGCCACTCAGCTATCCTCTGCAAGCAATAGGGTCTCATTAGGAAGCCCACCATGGCCTTGAATCTGCAATCCTCCTGCCTCAGCCTCTCAAGTGCTGGAATCACAGGTGTGCACCCATCACACCCAGCTTACACAACAGGACTTCACAGTGCCAGCAGCTCTAAGAAAATATACAAAAAGACTGCCTTCTTCATTAGGAAACAGAACTTACTTCACCAGGCCCCAGCCTTAACAGGCAACTCAGTAAAGTATAAAACACCCCCTCTTGGCACCTTTTTTTCAGGGGGGGAGGGAGCACAGGCAGGGTTTCTAAAGGTGTGTGCCACCCACGACCACAGCCAGTTTGTTTGTTTTTTAATTTAAAGACAGCATCTCATGTTGTATCAACCTCACTCTGCAGCCAAGGATAACTGTGCTTCTCCTCAGCACAGGATAACAGACAGACTTACACAGAAAAAGTCACGCAAGGCAAGCACTTCTAAAAACCCAGCAAGCTCACCCCTCCAGCTTTAAAGACAAAATTTTCAATAAAACTCTTTTTTAACTTCCATCTGTCTATTTAAATATGCAATCATATATGCTAAGCAGTCTAGGTGAAGTGTGGCAGGTCCGAGACATTCTTTGGTCAACTTCATGTCCACGACAGAATACCTACTCTGCCACAGGATGGAAGAGAAACAAAGGAACTTTCAGTCATAAGCCAAGAGCTCAAGACTCAATTGTAGCTCTCCCATCACAGCCCAGAGGGCAGGAGGAAGGCCAGAAGAACAAGTTTCATCCTAACTGGTGAAAACCATAAAGTGTGGCCCCCAACAGTGAAACTTGATGCTCCTACTTGGTATTCTACTGTCAGAGTGCCAGTCAAAGGTCTCCAGAAGACCCTATTTCACGATGTGGAGACCTGAAACAACAGGGCATACAGACTCAAGTATTTCTCTCTATCACCACTGTCCAACAAGTCCATGTAGGTTAACACAATGTTTAAGGGATATAATGCAAGATGGGGTTGAGTCCAATCCTCAGTCCACTGTGGTGCCAAGCTTTCATTTTTTTACATACTAGCAAAGTGAGCAAGGCAATATCCAACTCTAATCCAGAACAAAAAGCCCAAAGAACGGACTGTAAAAGAAAACACTGCACTTCAACGGCATTGGCAAGCATGCACAAGGCCCTGGGCCACATAAAGACTTTTACCACTGAGTGCTCCTCTTAAAACAGCACGTACTGTCTTCTCATCACCCACTGTGTCCATGACATCATTCTCTGTAAGTGGTCTCTTCCCTGGGCTGTAGGTTATCTTTGGTGCTCTGAGATATTGTGAAGAGAGGCAGTGGGGGCGGTGTCGAGAGTCACCTGTGCCTCAGCTGTACTGCTCACAACCTATAGTATGGCTTCCCTCTCTCCCCTGCCGCTGAAGTAGCAGTGCTGCAATGTGGAAGGTAGACTGTACCCTCCCTCTCCTGACTTTTGGAAGGTTATTCACTGGCAGGCAGGCGCGCTGCTGCGTGTCTCTTTCCAACGGTTCTCTTCTACTCCCACTGCTTCCTTAAGTCTCCACACACAAGGATTTCCCCAAACTTCCCTTTTTACAAGTCCCATGATGTCATGACTTTAGTATGACTTCACTCTAACTTCCCTGCTAAAACCATCAGTCCACATGAATGTTTAACATCTACATCCATACGCTGCCTACCCCGACATAGACTGAAAGATGATAATTGAAGGCAAATGTTGGTGACCTTTTTTCCTTCCAACTAGACACACACAGCAAATGTTCCTTACCTCCTGTCATTTCTAACGTTTACTGTCTACCCCACTATTCTAGCTTAAGCCTTCTCCCACATTCAGGGGGAACCTGCATCAACCCATCTTGGACTTGGCTATAAAGTGATCCTCCTGATCAAAGCTCTTCCTCCCTGTTCAAGTCTTTAGCAGCTGCCCTCTGCAAATAGCCCACACATCTTTGGCCAGCATTCAGGGACCTAAATAATCTGATCCCAACTGACCTGACTTCATTCATTTTCTTTAAGCACCCCAATTCCCAGGCATGATTGTACATCATTTGTATTTTCTACTGTGCCCTAACATGGAAGCCTTTATCGACACTCTCGGTTCAAGCTGGGTATGGAGATACACACTTTTAATCCCAGGACTTAGAGGAGGCTGAAGCAGGATTTGAGATCAAGGTCATCTTGGGATGAATAGCAAGTTCTAGGTCAACCTGGACTACAGTGACAGTCTTAAAATTCTAGGCTCATCAGGGACCACATCCACTGCTAACATATTTACAATATACTGTTGATGTCTCCATGACATCTTTGTTTCCTCACTCAATTCCAAGCACCAAGGAAGAGCTAGTTAACTTTAGGAGCACAAAATTGAACTCAGGCATAGTATTCAGTATGCCCCCAAACTATACCTTATTACCAACTCTGTATGATAAATTCAATTTTTATTTGTAGCTTCTGGGGGGAAGGTTGCTTAATGTTTGATTCTAATAACTGTCCAGAAGTACAAAGAATAACAAAATCTGGAAAGCAGTATTATTAACAAATGCACAGAGCCTTAGCTTTACTAAGCTGTAATACATGAAAAATAAATGGCTCTGCTCAACCCTGGGCAAGGGTAGATGCTAGCAATTCCACTTTACCTAAAATGTTACACATCTGTGCTCCCTTACCCCACCATGTCCTCATAAAAACTGCACGCCTAAAAACTAATACGCACAGCAGAGACTTCTACAGGAACCCATCCTATTTCAGGCAAAACAAACAAGCATCAATGAGTACAGATCTTAACTGCTCGGCTTGGGCAGCCACAGGAGTCCCAACTTAAATTAAGAAAACACTAGGAGTTACACTCATCATACACTATGAACTGGTGAAATTCCTGCTTTGGTCAAAGCATCCAGGACAAACCAGGACCCACTGCAACGTGCTTGGATCAACAAAGAGGCACAAAGGCAATGTGCACACCTACCTCAAAGCAAATCATGTGCAACTCCCTTAACTCCACAGCAATACCGGTTGTAGAACCAACTCAGGCCTCATGTCAGTCTACAAAGATCTAGAATGCTGCCCTTCACACATTAACTTCATCAGCTATGACCAAAACCAAAAATGGTTGCTTTTGTTTTCAGAAGTGTCCTTATAGAAAGATACAAACCATCGCTGTCACTTGGGAACAAAAGATTACAACTGGCAAGATTCAAGCATTTCCTATAACAGAAAAAAAGTAAAGTTCTTGTAACTTACCTAGCAAATTCTGCCAATTGCTTGGGGTCTGAGAGGTCAATGCCAGGTATCCCTCCAGGAGGGAGTTTCTTGCCTGTCATATATTCAGAATAATCAGGAGGTGAGTTCTCTCCAATGATCTGCTCTTCAACCACTGTTTCATGGTCAATATCTTTTTTTTCATCTGAAACACATGAGAATTGGTCATCTTAACTAGATGAATACATTGAATATAAATAGCTTTTAGTGAAATATTCTTACGTAACTATTTATAGCTATTACTGACTCAGTTTCTCAACCACTCATTGTGTCCTCCATATTTTGAACTCCCGATTCTTCTGGGTCACCCAAACCTTCTATGTCAAGCCCCACAGACCTTCACAATAAAGCTCTGAGTTAGCCTATCAGGAATAGCTGGCTCTCCACGAGTGCACTATCATCCACGAGTGCACTATCATTCACTCTCCAGACTTACCCTTCTTGTATAACTAGCTTTTTTTAACGTCTCCATTTTGCCTTTGTACCCATTTCACAAACTAATACATGAAAGGTAAAAAGAGTATTCATTCTTTTTTTTTGTTTTGTTTTTTGTTTTTACAAGACAGGGTTTCTCTGTATTGTTTTGGAGGCTGTCGGTCCAGCCCGGCCTCTGCCTCCCGAGTGCTGGGATTAAAGGCATGCGCCACCACCGCCCAGCAAAAAGAGTATTCTTATAGTGGAGCAATCATTACAAGTCCAATCACTCCCAGCAAGGAAAAGCAAAGGAGACACAGAAACTAAACACCTCTATAACTTCCCACAATTATTTCCATAAAAACAAGTTTTATTTTGTTTTAAGAACATTCTAGCCGGGCGATGGTGGCGCACGCCTTTAATCACAGGACTCGGGAGGCAGAGGCAGGCGGATCTCTGTGAGTTCGAGGCCAGCCTGGTCTACAAAGTGAGTTCCAGGACAGCCTCCAAAGCTACAGAGAAACCCTGTCTAGGAAAAAACCAAAAAAAAAAAAAAAAAAACCAAAAAAAAAAAAAAAAAAGAACATTCTATTTGCCGGGTGGTGGTAGCACACGCCTTTAATTCCAGCAGGCAGATCTCTCAGTTCAAGGTCTACAGAGTGAGTTCTAAGACAGAAACATTGTCCTGAAACAAAACAAAACAGGGTAACTTTCAGGGCTGGGTTCTTCCCTTTCATACTTAGTAGGGATCATCCCAGCTTTCTCAGCAAGTACTTTCAGCTGCTAAGCCTCATCCTACCCCTTTATCTAAGCTAGCCTGAACCTCCTGCTTCTACCTCCCAAATACTGGGAATATGGTGGGAGCCACACAGCTTACCCCCACCATTAGTCAGTCAGTCTAGAAATCTGACATAATAGCAATGGCATTTTACTCAATATTTATGGATAGTACTACCTTCATCACACATTCCCTATGAAGTGGGCAAGCTACCACCCACTTTAATTTTACAAAGAAACTGAGGCATGGAAAAGTTAAGCAACTTATCCAGGGATAACTGGAAAAAAAGTTCTGTGTGTACAAAACATGGGGGAGATGTGTGAAGGTCAGAAGACAGAGTCTGTTCTCTTCCTTCCTCCATATGTTACCTGGGGACTGAACTCCATCGGGCTTTGCAGCTTACCTGATGGATCAACTGGTCTCACTGCCTGCCCCCTTTTTAAAGGGCAAATATTTATTGGATATAAACTCTTTAAGCCTAACCCAGAGACCTATGTGCTGAACCGTTAAGCCCAAGTATCTCCTTAGGAATTAGAAAGAACCACTAATACACCCACGTACTGATAAAGATACACTTCTATGGATGAATGAAGGGGTCAATTGAAACAGGCTGTGTGACTGATAGCAGTTACAGATAGTTTTCAGTCTGCCCGGTCCTTAGCAAGGTCATTCTCTCACCTAGATATACTACCACACCAAAACCTAACTGTACAGAAACATGATGGTAGGCAGGGATGCTAGTGTTGTTCTTTCTACTTTCTCCAGCCCCAAGTCTTGCTAGTCATCCCTAGCTGGCCTTGAACTTGCAATGGCCATACTGCTGGGGCCAATTTGTACACATTTCTGATACAAAGATCAAAGCAAAGGGCTCTATGGATGCAGCTTGGTTGGTACATCGCTCGTCTAGCAATCAATCTAAACCACACAACCTGTGCCTGACAAGGTCATCCTCCAACTTCAAAGTAAGTTTGAGGCCAGCCTGGGAATACATGATGAGTGTCACACAGAACTCCCAACCTAGACTATCCCTTGTATTGGTTTCACATGTATTAGCCAGGGCCTTGAAGATGCCCATCACTGGCAAAACGGCCAGAGAGACAATAGTCCCTACCCTCAGGGAGCACACTTCAACAGAGGGAAATTAAATGATGAAACACTCTTATGGAGCCACACCTCCAGCTCAGAAGAAAAAACATTTATTTGAGGCTCAGTTCTTACTACACTCAAAAGAGGGGCTGGGAAGACAGCCAGTGATAAAATGCCTGTTCCACAAGCCCGAGTTCATTCTCCAACACCCATGTAAAAACACAGGCAAAGCAGCATGTAGAACCTCAGCTCTGGAGAGGCAGAAAACACACAGTTCCCCGGGGCTTCCTGACCACCAGTCTAGCCTACTACTCTTTGAGATCCAAGTCCCAGCTCAAGGCTGTCAAAATCAAGGTGGGGCCAGGTGGGATGATACACGCCTTTAATCCCAGCAGGCAAGAAGCAGATGAAAAGGCAAACTGTGAGTTTGAGGCCAGCCTAATCTACATAGTAAGATGCTATCTCAAAATCAAAATATGTTCGGGGGAGGGGGGGGATGACTGGGGAGGGAGGTTAAGAATGTGTACTGCTCTTGCAGAGAACCTGGAGTTGAATTCCCATTCCCAATGGTTCACAATTACTATTAACTCCAGCTCCTGGAGATCAGATGCCCTCTTCTGGACTCAGCTGACACCTGTGTTCAATTACGCACAAGCCTGATTACAAATCAAAAAGTACCCCTACTTATATAAACAAAATTGTTTGCTTATACAATCCTTTCTACTTCTTTACAGGTCATCTATGGTTGCTTTCCTGATGCAAACATATGGGGATCTGACTGGGTTTTTAACAGAGAACACAAACCCACAAAAGCCCAGAATTACTACCTGGCCCTTCATACACTTGACCTATAGGTGAAATTTTAATTTAGAGAAAGAGGGGTTAAGGTAGTAATTTTTCTACTTGAAAAAGGAGTAACTTCTGAGAAATGTGGTTTGGTACCAAATGTATTCATTTCCAGGAGATCCTTAAAACACCGTAAAGATTTCTTTTGGAAGACTAAACCATAGTTTGGTAACAAACAAGATACATTTCTTGAAGGATGGTGGTATCACTTGCTGAGGTAACCAAGTGCGGAAGAGATGATATCAACAACAACAAAATCTAGTCTCTCTTTGCTTTGACATGCCCATGGAAGCTGTCAGAAAGCAAGTACAGGAATAAAAAGGAATCTTACGTTGGAGAATGGTGCCATTCATTGGCATACAGATTTTAAGTATACTGAAAATGGATCCAGAGCCACCCCTAATTCCAACAACAGAAAAAACGAGGCCCTGTAAAGGAGGGCCAACAACTAAGAGGTGAACACAAGTGAAGCGCACTGAGGGCTGTGCCACCTACTGTGTCATCACCACATGCCCACACCTCTGCCAGCAAACCAGCACGCTCACCTTCCACTATTTAATGCTGAGAACCAACCTTGGGTCCTCTGCAAGAGCAGGAAGTACTCTTAACCACTGAGCTGCCGTCTCTAGAGCCCTGTTTTGTTTTTGGTGTTAGCATCTTATTATGTGGTCCAAGCTGACCCATGTTTCTCCAGTCCCGTCTCCTTATAGTGCTAGTGTTGGTTACAGGTATGCACACACCACCTACAATCTTCTGCACTGGCTATGACTGCTTTCTTTTAAATCCATAAATTTTTTCTGTGTAGGAGAATGCAACCTGATCCACTTTGAATGTCAAATATACTATTGATTTCTTCAAACTACAACAGGTGATACTGTACATAAGTCAAAGCAAACTCTGTTCAGGAAGCAAATGATCTAATTGTAGTCTAAAATTATTAATGCACCAGACCCAGGGGACATGTCCAATCTTTGGCCACTGTTATCTACAAATGCGTTGGGCCATGTTCATAGATATATTAAGTTACATATAGCCCATGGACTGCAGGCTGGACACACCTGTTAAGAGGTTCACTGCTCGATTTTCCTTTGAAGGCAAAATTAACATGGAACCATATTTGACAAGGTAAACCAATGCCTCTTTGGAAAAGGCTGGGAACATAAGGCTCTGACTGAAAAGGAGCGGGTGTTGGGTGTGGTGGCAGGAGTACCCTGTTAAAAATGTCAAGCTAAAATGGTGCTATATTTTCCCCCAAAACATTATGGCAGAATGCAGACGACCCAGAACTATCAGCCCAAGATGCATTTGGAAGAAACTAAGTCTAGCCAGCACTGTGAGTGAGTAGGCTGAGCCTCTCGCCTACATTCATCATTCTCTTTCTGCACATGGTATCACCCGAAAGGCAGAAAGGTAGACAGACTACTCAGTCCCTCCTGGTCCATCTCTTGGTAGTTCAGTCCGAAATGATCACCTCCAGTCTGATGATTAGTAAAATAAAGGTCTGATAACAACCTCCAGCCACTAAGACCTAATCAAGGAAGCTACAAGAAAAGCCTGGGAGCACTCCAGGTCTAGCAGTCAAATGTGGAGTCTTCTCTACCCAATCAAACAGGTTTTCTCTCGGCTTTCTTTTGGTGACTGACAAAACACACTTAATAAACACAACTTTTCTTGCCTGTCTCCTCTCACTTTAAAGTTTGGTAGCATGCTAAAATGTCAACTTTCTCTCTGGGATGTACTGGGGTTGACAATCCAGTTTTTGCTTTGCTCTGGCTTTATTTTTAGACAGCGGGACAGCAGGCCTCAGGACACTGGAGATGACCACACTTTGCACTATATAACAGACTTGTCAGCTACCCGCAGGCACTGTGCATACATAGTAATTCCCTCTAATGGTGGCTTATAGTTCAGAAGGTCAGGAGTCAGAACCAGTATGAACTACGGTCACTATGAGGATTTTAACTCTTGAGGTCGGGGGCTGTGGAGGAGTAGGTGTTTGCCACAGTTCTTGGCTCATGACC